TATAGGAAAACATGCAGAGCAAAAATAAAAATCACAACTTGAACTATTCCATGTTTCCTGCTTATTTTGTAATACGGGGGATCAAACCGAGAGTTCACACTGAGCTACGTTTCTAGCCCTTTATTTATTTATTTTGAGACAGGATCTTACCAAGTTGCTAAGTTGTCCAGGCTGGCCTTAAACTTACTATCTTTGCAAAAGAGGGAAGAATATATCTCAGAGATTAAAACGTGGGGTTGGAAACCCAACAGACCCGGATGTTGCACCTCACTGGGCATGTGCCATGAGACATAGTTCCTGAGCCTGCCATCTGGGGAGAAACAGTTATCCCAGCATTTATCCAATACATGATAGCTAAGGCTGGCTTGTCCTGAAGACTCATTTTCAGAACTCAGCAGATACAGTACCCAGAGGCGAGCTCTGCCCTTCCACAGCCAATGTTCCTTAAAGCTATTAGAAGGCTGAGGGTGAATAGGGAGCTGTCCGTCGTCTTGGTGCTGACTTGTCAGGACCACAGAGACTTTCAATCACTTAGGCTGCCCAGGAACTTCAAGGCAGTGACTGTGGGTGAGCAGGAATGGCAGTGGAACAAGGACTGGGAGAAATGACTTTTCCTGAAGGCTCTCATCCTGAAGATATGAGACAAGCTCCACTGGCTCCACTGCAGCCCAGAGACAGGAAATGAACAAAGGCAGACATTTTTAGAAGTCAGCACAAACTCAAAGAAGCTGCTGTTTGTGAATCGGTCCAGTGCCTCAGAGTGTAATAGTCAGGAAGATCAGTTACACACTTCTCTGCTCATGGAGTGGGTTTGAGTTGCAAATAAAGAAGCCACTGTACCACAGGCAGGTTTAATGGATTTCTAAGGCAAAGTTGGCTTTATGTACATGTGAACTCAGTGGAGAGAAAAAGCTCCACATCTGGACTAGGTAGACTCTAGCTGGATGGCAATTCATTCCCTTTAACCTGCCACAGGGCTATTGTGGTGTAGGAGACAGAGTCCCAGACTAGGGGGAAAGATCTATAGTTTCATCTCAGATCTAAACCAGCACATCTGACAGACCATAAGCAAGATTCCTTGCTACAAGTGTATGCCATCCAATCCAAAACTGTTGGTAACCATTATACCACAAACCATACATGGGAAAATGAAGTGCCTAGCAGAAGGTCTGGCCCACAGTGCACTCTCAGAGAGACACTGAGTTCCTGTACTACCTAGCTAGCTGGCTTCCAGCCCAAGCATCTAGTTTGAGAAGAGAGGTAGAGCAGAGAAGAGTGGGGGTGGTTGTTAATTGAGCTTCATTAGGGGAAGCCAGGCAACCAAATATGGAATCAGATTACAGTCAGTGATTAAACACATAAACCTGGGTCCACCTCACTTCTCTCACCAGTTCTGGGCCCTTGGGATGCTAATTAACCTCTTTGAACCTCTTTCCTTTTTTGTTTGATGGTGGCAATTGCAGTGTCTTGGGTATATGGGTACCATGAAAATTAAATAAGGCAAGTAGGGTGTCTGGATCTTAGCAAGTCTTGGATAAATGCATTCTGGATTCCATCAGACAGTGGAGAATTATCTTCTTCCAAGAGATTGACAGCTGAGACTGCCAGGCAGTTGGCTCCCTCTTCCCTCTGGCTAAGTGTTAAGTTTCATAGCTGGCCTACAGGGGCTGAGACAGCCACAGAGATTCAGGAATGGCAAAGGCCCTGTCTAGTGAGTCAAATTTTCCCTCTGATAATGGACAAGCAAGCCAGAAATGTGATGGCCTGCTGAGGGACCATTCAATTGATTCTTACCCAGCTTGAGGGCTGGGCTAAGGTGGTGTTCATAAACAGCCTGCCTGAGGAGGGACCACCAGCCTGATCTAATGGTGGAGCAGAGAGAGCACTGGGTAGTGAGTCAGGACTGGTCACCTCCTAATGAGCCACAGGTTCTTATGCAAAGAACAACAACAACAGAAATCCCCACCAGAGTCTTGGTGTCCTTATCTGTACACCAAGAGCATCTAGGCTCACTCTAGGACCTTTAGGTTTTATAGAGGTCATAGGAGGCAGCAGTTGTATGAATGTTTTGAAAATTGAAAGCAGTTGCAGGGCTCACATGGTAAGGCTGGTGGGGAGGGATGTGCCATCAGGATGAATGCTTCCATCATATCCTCGGGCTTGATCTGAGTATTCTGGGCTTGCCACTACCCTTCCTTCCTGCAGGTCCACCTTCTGCTTCAGAACCACAATTCTGTGAGGTACTGGGCTTCAGTCCTTAGGTATTTTTCTCTGGCACATTTTTCCACATGGAATGTCAAGTGCTTGACCCTACATCTCAACGTGAAGATCAGAGCCCTTTGACTCCCCAAAGCAGTGTGTTCTCTGTATTCACAGCACTGCTATGGGACCTCTCTTGGGGCATTGGGGCCATTCTAGTTCCTGTTGAGTGTGTATCAATATTTCATCTCTTTCTAAAGACAGTTATGGAAAATACCACTGAAATTACCAAACTCTTGGTGTATGTGTGTGTGCGTGTGTGTGTGTGTGTGTGTGTGTGTATTTGAGCACATGTGTGCAATAAAGATAGAGGCACAGTGGGAAAATGTGGGCTTTAGTGTCCAATAGTTGTAGATTCATAATCAATTCATTTTATTCTATCTATTGATGCCTACTTGGGGTGACCTTGAATAAACTATTGGACTTTTGGGATCTTAGCTCCTTCATTTGTCAAGAAGGAGTCATGATATTTACACTGCAGAGTTGCCACAAGGATTGACAGTGACATGTGCCTCTCTGTCTTCCTGTTGTTAAACCTCCCTCAGGGCCTAGTTACAGCATTTAATGACTCATGTTAATGCTGTCATCACCATTCCATCACTGCTGACTTTTCTCCCGCTCCAAGAAGCATGCTGTGCAGATCTGGCCACAGTGTTTCTTAGGTAGGCATACGCCAGGCGCTTTGGTCCTGGTCAGTGGGTTGGGTTCCTGAGTCCTTTTATGGAAGGGGAACAGGGACTGTGTCAAGACCTGGACAGGCCATGCATCTTCCTTAATCAATGACTGTGACGTCACTGGTGGTGTCTAACACCATGTTAGAATGTGAGCTTTCTATGAAGCCAAGGAAGCCGAGGACCCTGCCATTATAGAGATCAGTCCTCTCACCATCCCAATGGGGCCAGTCTGTGGAACTAGGGCTGCTGGCTTCCTCCATTACCAACACTGTCACCCTTTCTGAGCTTCAGTGCTTTCGTCTCTAAGATATGCAAAGTGATAAGCTCTTCTTGCTATTGTTGCAAGGATTATATAAATTGTGGAAATGTTTACACGTGTTTTATAAATTCCAGCATGCTATGAGAATACTAGTTAAAAATTTACCTTCTTCTTGTGACCCTTCAGAGAGTACTTTCAGGCCAGGACATTAGGAGGGTTGCCTTGGTGGTGCTTAGCCATCTGGTTGCCTTACCTGGTCACTTTCCATTGAGTGTAGTCCTCACAGTATGGTCATGATGATTCTCATAAAAACCACCCGAGGACTTCATGAAAAAATGCAAAATCCCAGACCATCTGATTTGGAAACACTGGGAAATCCAAATCTTTAACTAGCATTCCAGGTTCCCTAAGTGATGCTAATAAACATTAAAATGTGAGATTCAAAGACCCAGTGGTGTCCCCACATAGAGCGAATGATACTCTGACTCCACAAATAATGCTTGAGCACCTAATTCTAGCACGTATCTGATTGTGTGGGAGCACAGACAGGCCTGCCCAGCCAGGAGCACTAGGGGTCAGCCTCTCCTGACTGAGAGGATGCCCTAGGGAAGTCCAGTGCGCCTCTGTCTCCCCCTGGCAGGTCTGAGGATGCGGTTGAAGCTCTGGCTAGAGAGCGATAGTGATGGGAAGATCTGAGGGCTGAATCAGCACAGCAGCTGCCCTGGGGCAGGCTGGGGAGGTCTTGGAAGACATCAGGGACGATGGCCATGCAAGACAGAGAGACATGGGCTCCTTCCTTTCTCTGTCAAAGGAGTCTACCTAAACTCCCAGCTCAACTCAGAGAGGAAGCAGAGGTATCCCTGGGAAGCTCCTCCCTAGGACTAATAGGCTAGAACGCCCCTGGGGGGGGTCAAGTTCTGGCCAAGCTGTTGTTTGGGCTGGGGTAGGTGGCACGAAGGTGTAAAGGTGCTCAGGCATCTCTCCCTTTTCCCAGTCAGAGCTTCTTGACTCAGTCTGTCTTTGACACTCTCGGGGGAGAGGGGAAGAGAAAGGGGGAGGAGGAGCCACAGGGAGCCAATCACCCTGCACGGAAGCCTCCCGAGCTGGTTCCCTCCAAGTGTGTCAGTGTGTGTGTATACGTGTGTGTGTCAGCGTGTGCGTGTCCGCAAGCTCATCAAGGGGGATTTCCGTGAGTGAAGCAGCCAGTTTCCAGAGAGCAAGAGAAGAGGAGGGGGGAAAACAAGAGGAGAGAAGAAAATTGGGGGTGGGAGAGACAGACGGAGAGAACAGCAGAGAGAGAGAGAGAGAGAGAGAGAGAGAGAGAAGGAGCTGAAGGAAAAAGCAAGCAAGAAGAGCGGAGCGAGAGGGAGGGACGGAAAAGGCAGAGAGCAGGAGGATGTGCGGAGAAGACTGAGCTCAGAACTGTGCGAGGACAGGCGCAAGCAGAGGCAGAGGCGGAGGCGGAGCAGGACCGCAGGCGCCTGCCATCAAGGACCCCAGAGCCCTGAAGGCTGCAGGTTCAGCAGTGCGCTCTAGCGCTTGGCGGAGGTGGAGCGGGGGTCTGGGTCTTAGCGGGGAGTCCAGGTGCTCGCCCGGGAGGTGGCGCGGGGCTCCGAGGTGACTTCACCCGGGCGTCTGCCCGGGAGGCGGCGCGGGGCTCCAGGGTGGCTGCGCGCCCTCCGGGGAGCCATGTCAGGAGGGGCCGGGGGTCGCCGGGTGGCAGCGCCGCCGAGGGGCTGAGCCGGCCGCGGGCTGCGCCATGGCGGCGCGCGGTTGCGGACCCTGAGCGCCGGCGGCGGGCGCGCACCATGAACTCGTGGGACGCGGGCCTGGCCGGGCTGCTAGTGGGCACGATGGGCGTCTCGCTGCTGTCCAATGCGCTGGTGCTGCTCTGCTTGCTGCACAGCGCTGACCTCCGCCGCCAAGCGCCAGCGCTCTTCACCCTCAACCTCACGTGCGGCAACCTGCTGTGCACCGTGGTCAACATGCCGCTCACGCTGGCCGGCGTCGTGGCGCAGCGGCAGCCGGCCGGTGACCGCATGTGCCGCCTGGCCGCCTTCCTCGACACCTTTCTGGCTGCCAACTCTATGCTCAGTATGGCCGCGCTCAGCATCGACCGCTGGGTGGCCGTGGTCTTCCCGCTGAGCTACCGCACCAAGATGCGCCTCCGCGACGCCGCACTCATGGTGGCTTACACGTGGCTGCACGCGCTCACCTTTCCGGCGGCCGCTCTCGCCCTGTCCTGGCTCGGCTTCCACCAGCTGTATGCATCCTGCACGCTGTGCAGCCGGCGGCCTGATGAGCGCCTGCGCTTTGCCGTCTTCACGGGCGCCTTCCACACGCTCAGCTTCCTGCTGTCGTTCGTCGTGCTCTGCTTCACGTACCTCAAGGTGCTCAAGGTGGCCCGCTTCCATTGCAAGCGCATCGACGTGATCACTATGCAGACGCTCGTGCTCCTGGTGGACATCCATCCCAGGTGAGGCTGCGCTCACTGTGCACGGGGCAGGTTTTGGTGGGAGTGGGAGGTCCCCACATCCTTGCTTCTCTATGGAAAACAAGGGCGAGGGCAGTAACCAGTGCTGGGGTCTCCTAGCTGGCTAGAACGTCCACAAAACAGGGCCACAGAAAATGTGGATGACGTGACCCACACAGCACTTTCAGAAGCATCTGGGTAAAAAGCGGAGCCAAAACTTGCTTGGATTTCCTTGTGTCTGTAGTTTTCACTTTAAAGTGATACATAGGAAAGCAGTGGGCTTTGTTCCCTTTACAGTCTTTAAACGGTTTGAATCTGGCATTGAGAGGAGCCTGGAGGCTTAGGAAGCCCTTAAGAGCTCTTCAGATGGAGTGTTCGGCTCCTCTGCATCTTTCCTCTCTCTGATGTCTGGCTGCCTGTCTCCCACCCCGTGTGTGCCAGATGGAAGTAGGCTGCTCTTACCCCTCTAGTGGGCTCTAAGGGTGTGAGGGTTTTCCTGCTCTGCTGAGAGCACTGCCCAGTGTCTTTTGGACTTGGAGCCCTGAGGCTCCACAGGAGGGCACCCCACAAGGCTTCTGGGACTGAACCTGCACACCCACCTCCATCCTCACTGGTTGCTGTCTCTGTTAGGGAGAAGGTGGGCAGCACAAGTACCTGCAAGAAACCCCTACCATGCTCAAGAATACCTTGGTAAAAGACAGAGAAACTTGAGCTGTCCTGAGCTCACCTCAGCTTTCCTCATGAGAATAGTGAAGCAAAGACAGAAAGTGCTGGCAGTGTGTCTGCCGCCTTACAACCACACAAAGCAGGCTCCTTTTCTGCAGCCTGGGACTCTAGCTAAGGCTTTAGCATCAGATGGCTGGATGGATGAGTGAGGCAGGCAGAGAGACCACTGGGGATGTGGCAAGCCTGGGGCCCTTCTGTGAGCAGAGCCCTGGAACCTAGGGAGGCTTGGGGCAGTGGAGCGAGCTCAGTCCTACCCTAGGGTATGCAGGGCTCCCTTTAGGACCAAGGGGCCAGGCTGGAAGTGTCTATCTTAGCAAAGACACCTCACTGAGATTTTCCTGCCTTCAACAATAACAAGCAGTGCTTGAACTTTACCATGCTTGCAAACAGGGTATGAATGCCTGTGTCCATTGTTCCTGATTACACGCTGGAGCAGTCTCTTTACACACAAAACCACTCTCACAGAGTCACACACAAATGCACTCGCACCAGCTCTCACTGCCCGTGTCTGTGCACAGTTCAGAGGGGTTTAAGGAAATATTTTGCAACCACAGTTACAGAGCAATCTCCCTTCCCATCACTCTTTACCCTGGGTATGGGGCCAGGACTGCTCTTGGAAGATACATGCAAATGTCAACTTCTGGACTTGAGTGAGCCTTGCCATGAGTCTCACAATGGAGGGGAGATCACGCTGAAAAAGAAACCAGTTCTCATTTAGACCAGCATAAATTCCTACCCTTACCCAGCTCTTCAACTTCCAGGACAGGAGAGCAAGTGGCTCCTTTTCAGCCCAGTTAGGGTGGAAGACCAGCTCTACTCTTGCAAATCCCTCTCCCTGTCTGCAGGAAAAGTCTCTGAACATCTTGGAAACAGAGGCAGCTTCTCTGTTTGCATCCAGCCCCTTGCTTCTCTGTGGGGGGTGGGGAGCTTGACCTCTTCTAAGCACAGGATCTTTTGAGGAGTCCCTGTTTCTAGTGCCCTGGGTTCTCTAGGCAGCCTTGTTGGAAAACAGAAGGGCTACTGAGCAGGGATTGTCCTGGCTGGCTACACAGGCCCCACCTCAGCTCCCTGATGTTATGAAATAGAAGGACCTTTAGTGAACACAAACCTGCCCCAGGAGGCTTACCCCCATAGCAAGAGCACAGGGATGGGCTGCACAGAAGGGGACATCTAGGCAGTCCATCTGCTTCTGTCCTGTTTACCTCTAGCTTCCTCCATACAAAGAAGAAACTGCAGCACTAGTTCTAGGGCTGCCTGGGTGCCTCCACCATCAGGCACTGGGCCTCTTACCCAATTTGGTGCTAAGAGTCTCTGTGGTCTCTGAGTGTCAGTCTTGGGTCTGCAAAATCCATGCTTCTTTCTCTGGATACCCAGGGCAGCAGACGAAACCCTGGCTCACTGGAGTTTTTCTAAGCCACCACCCTAAAGACCTTCTGGACTTAACTAAAAGGGACCTTTTTTGAGCTCTGCAAGGCCCAGCATGGCCTTTATCTGTTGTTCCTGACAGGTATCTAATGCACTGAGTCATGCAATAAGTAGTCCCACACTCCTATCTTTCAGTGGTGGTTTCTCAATTAGAACACTGATAAAGTCAATGGGAGTTTCCAGTGTCCAGTGCACACCTGACCCTCTACCTCCTCAGTGCCTGCTGCACAGTGCTCCCTAACCAGTGCTGTCTAGACAGTGATAACCAGACCTCCACCTGGTGCTGCAGGGATGGCTGAGCATGTGGGGCCGGGTCTGGATGCAGGTACTGTGCTCTTTCCAGTTCATCCCAGGGTCAGGCTCACTGGCTTAGGTTAATGATTGCATAGAAGCAGGGTCCCTAAAGAGGACTCAAGCCAGGAGTATCCTGAGCTGAACAGGTACTTCCTGTAGGTATTCCCCAGGTCTGCTGGGCCTCCCAGAGTCTCCTAGATGTAGAATGAGCCATGTCTACAAAGCCTGGATCTGGACAGTGGCAGAATTGTGGCATAGTAGACAGAACTTCACTGTGCCCTTGACTTTACAGATGATGGAACTGGGAAACCTTAGGAAGGGGCCTTTGCCCAATTTAGCAGATTTTAGAAAGTTGCTCAAGCCCAGATTCACTTCCCAGGATTTTTAGATGGGGCAAATAAAATCTCAAAAAGACTATGTATTAAATTAAGTTTACAAGCTATAATGAAATATGCTATATCTTTATACCTCAGCAAAAATAAGAAGCTGAGAGGCTGGGTTTGGATTTAGAATCCTCAGGCTCCTGGAAGCCTCAGAGCCTAGAACTTGGTGGGAAGAGCTGAGCCGGCCTGCCTGCCTCCCCTCCCTATCCCGGCTCTACCAGTAGTGCAGGGGCCTCCCCTGCACAGGTGCACATTGCAGGGTGCCTGCCCATGTGCCATGTACATGTGTGGCTCACAAACACCACCCTTTCTGTCCTCTAGCCAAGCACATGATGGGACCAGAAGAGATAGAGGAGCATAGTTTGGAAGCAAGATCAAAGCATTTGGCAAAAAATTCCATATTCTAGGCACTTTGGGCCAGAATGGAAGGCATGGACTATGGGTGGGGAGATCCCTTAGCCCTGTGAACTGTTCATTTCACAAAGAGACAGGTGGACCTCTTAGTGTGCAAGGCCCAGGCAATGACCACTCTCATTAGATCTGAGGGCAGGACAGCTCACACCAATATCCTCATCTGTAACACACAGCTCTTCCCAGCACCAATCTCTTATTTTAAGGACAAGCTTTTCCCTTGTCTTAATAGTTAGAAAATGAATGAGAGCCACTGTGAAGATTCAAGTTTGTTCTCTGGGTGGACAACAGTCATCTGGGACCATTCAGGATATGGACCCACTGGGGAGGCAGGAAAGTGTCTGTGGATGGAAGGTTTTATCAGAGATCACCTCATTTACTGACTTCTCAGACATTTCCACGATCACCCTCCCTTTTGCCCAATTACCAAAGGCTGACAGGGAGCATCTCTTCAATCCCAAGTGTCACAATGCTGGACAGCCTGTCTCCTTCTGTCTCAAGAAATTCTTTGTCCTGAACAGCTTCAAGACATACCCTGATGCCCACCACACCACTCACCGCATACCAACCCCACAAACACACACTGGCCAGGTTGCCTTTGGAGAGCTTTGGGCTTCTCACTCTGTACCTCAGATTTTGCTCAAGAGCTCAAGAAATTCAGGTGCACCACCAGACTTAGGGGTTTGTGGAATGCTCAGCACTAGGTGATTTTATGAGCAGTAGTGGGATTGGGATAAACACCCTAAAACCTGGGCAAGGAGACCTAAAATGAGGCCTGGTTCAGTTCTGAGCTCCCGGTGCAACCTTGAGCATGTCCTAAACATTGCTGGTCCTCAGCATCTTCAGTGGCAAGTAAGTACAATAGCAGCTCACAGGGCTGCAGCACTTCAGGGAGCTCAGATCTGCAAAGCTATGGTGGGGGAGAGCAGACAGCAGGTGCCCGTGGCTTTCTTATGCCATCACTCTGAGCACAGGTGCACCGTCTCACACGTGCTTAAGCAGTGATCAGAACCGGGGGTCCTGCTGCTTCCCCTGCAGCCTGGGCCCACTTTGCCTTCTCACCCACTGCCTGCCACTGCTTAGTGCTCACATGGCAAGCAGTTAGAGCAAGGCAGGGCATGCAGGAAAGAACCATGCAGCTCAAGACTAGGAGCACCGGGCTGGGAGTCAGTGACTGGAAGCCAATCCCACCTATACCCCGCTGTTGGATGTGAAAGTCCCCTGTCCCTCAAGCCTCAGTCTCTCTACCTGTGAGCTGCAGAGGGTAGATGGGCAGACCACTCACCTATGTGACTGCAGAGAAAAAACACGCCCCCAGACACAGTATGTGCTCTACACACCTGCTCTGTGCTCCAGTCTGCCAGGCAGGAAACAGCATCCACAGGTCCATGGAGGCCCAGAGTGGGTTACAGAACCCACCCTAAAGTCAGGATTCAATGTCAGGCCACCTGACTGGCAGCTCCTTCTCACTGGACTCCTGACACAGGCCCTGGCTACAGCCACCTCCCATAAATGCACAGGCAGGATGAACTTCCAATGGTGGAGGGAGCTCTGTGGATTAGGAGTTCAGGCAGAGCTGGAACACAGTTCACAGTTGTTCAATAAATACACATCAAATGAAGAATAATCATTATTGAGTGTTTAACTGCTAAGCACTCTCGGTACTTTTCATACATTAACTCAGTTATTGTAAGTATACCCCTATGGGGTAGATACTCTGATCATCCTCATTTTATAGACAAGCTAATGCACAGAGAGACTATATAACTTCCCTAAGGCCACACAGTAATTAAGTGATGATTTCTGCACTTAAGCCCAGACATGTGGTTTGGGCTGTTTATGCTTAATCACCAGGCTACCAACCAAGATGGGCAACCAGTCCACTGGGAATTCTTCACGGCCTCAGGTCCAATGGCAATCCTTGCTTTGTCTGATAGTCAAAAGGTTTTTAAAATTCACTTTAACAAATCTATTTTAGAACATATTTCTTGCTTGTTATCATCTCTTTTGCAAAGATTACTTTAAAGTGACCAAGTCATAATAGTTTTTTTTTTGTTTTTTTTTGTTTTTTTTTTTTGTAAGGAGAGTTCATTAGCTACATAGTACAACACACACTAAGTGTATTCTGAGTGTAAGACAGGAAATGTAGAACCTTGGACAGTGGTTCTAAGAACCACTAGAAGAAGCCATGTGGAGCACAGTACTTTGCTGCTTTATCTTCCCCTGCTGCACATGGCCTTGTCCAAGCAAAGGCAGTTCGTCCCTGTCATTTTTACAGCCTGCAGGAGTGACACCTGTCACCCCAGCCTGCACAGGGTCCATTTCTTTGTTCAGAGACACTGAAATGATTCTTGTTCTTCTGAAAACCCCCCAAAGCCTTCACCAACACCCATTTTTAGATATTCCTCATGTTACAGAGAGGATTATTTGGTACGGTCACAAGGGACTGCCACCCCTGAGGGAACACTGTGTTCTCACCAAGGGACCCAGTCCCTAGTAAGGGGACCTGGGATAGTGTCTCAGCCCCCACAGTCCTGGAAGCTGGTGAGTTATGTCTGTACCCAATAAGAGTCTGTCCCTGTGATCAGTGGAGCCCTAGCTGTAGCTATTGGGAAGTTTCCCTTGGATAAAAGAGGAATCAGGTTCAGAGGATTGTGCAACATCCCTGAAGCCACACAACTCTGAGGGCAGAGCTTAGAACACCTAAGCCAGAGCTGTTTCACTCTTGGGAAAGTTCCTCAACCTTTCTGAACTTGACTTCTTATTGTCTTAGGAGAACTTCACAGTAGCTATAACTAGAATGACTGTTCATCACAGGGACAGTTATTTGTCAGGGGAAGGCTTTAGTCCTCCCCTCCCTCTCTGTACCTTGTATGTGTCATACCACCCAGAGAACTTTGGGAGAAAACATTTGTAGACTCCCAAGTGTAACTGGAAACCCAGGGAATTTAAGCCCAGCCCTTGCTATATGAGCTTAGACAAGGCCACTACTCTGTCCCCACCATGCCACTGGCTGTATTCTTCTAATTTTCTGGATGCAGTGATGCCCTAGTGACTCTCTAGGAAATGTGATCCCACAGAAAAGTTGAGAACTGATGCCCAAATTCCAGAGTCACTAGCCTGGGTTCAGATCCTGCCACCACCCAGCGTGAACAACTGTTCTGGGTCTCAGATGGGGGAATTTCCCTTTTGCAGTCAGAATCATTCCCTGTGAATCATTAAGATACAGGACATTCAGTGCTAAAATAGGGACCACTGGGACAAACTACTCACCCTACTGACACTACTTACGAAGTGTGCAATCTTGGGAAGTTACTTGATTGCTCTTGGCCCCAGTGTCCTCTTCTGAAAAGTGGGGACCATAATGATATCAATCCCTAGCTCATAGAGGCCTTGTGCTATCAAATAAACCAGTGTATGTGAGCCCCCATCACAGGAGTTAACACGGTACATATTAGACACCTAGAAAATGTGGATTATTCTTAATATTAATCATTAGAAGTTAAGTAGTAATTTTGTGAGCAATATATTTTCAGCTACTCTGAAACTTGTTTGTACCAAGTTCAACTTCAGTTCCCAACTCTATAAAATGCTGGAAAAGCAAAAGTCAAAGGAAAAATATCTGCAAGAATTTCAAGATCCTTCAATCCAGAATAACATAGACTTATCCATTAGTGATAGGAAATTTGAGTGAGAAAAGTTCTGATAATGCATTAAAAGGACGGCTCTTCTGGAAGGAAGGGGAGGCTGCCCTTCATTAACAATGTACATGGATCTGCCTCGTGGATCCTCTCCCATGGCTTGTTTTTGGAGAGCGGACCAGCCTATTTTTGGAGCAGGTCACTTCCATCCAAGCCAGGCTGTGCCAAGTTATCTGCACTTCCTGGGCAACTGTGCCTGCAGTCTTCCCCAGTGAATTATTCAGAACATCCACTGTAAAAACACATGCCTATATCGGGCTTCTTGAGCTGAAGCATGTGAAGCCTTGAGCGGGGCTTGGCTTTCCACGGCCACTTTTCTGTGCTCCTTGCCTGTGACAGTGGGCAGAGCAGCTGTTGCGCATGCCTTCCTCTGCCCCAGCACATGGTGCATTAAAAGAGCCACTGCGCTCAGCTGACACTCAACTGACAGTGGTGGAAAGGTCCTCAAGCGCGTGGAGCGAGAACAAACATTGGTGGCTCCTGATTCAGTCTTTCAAGTTGTGTCCCCAATTCCACAAGGACATGGTAGCCACTCCGCTTCTCAGAGCTTGGTCTCTGGAGGAATTAACTGATTCTGCTTCAGTGACCCTGTAATGCTGTGTCTCTAGCTTGAGGCAGGGTTGAGGCTTTGGGCTAGAAGAAACAAGGCTGACAATGCATATAAAGGGAGCCCCATGCATGCCACTCTGTATGCACAGACCCAAGGCTGCCCCTGGTGAAATAGGACACAGTTCAAATCCCGTCTCCACTTGACAGTCCAGCAAATTGTTCCCTTACAGCAGAACAGTCTTCAGCTCCTTGTTGTCACTGTAAAACACAGCAGGTAAAACCCACTTGGCTTGTAGAAGGCATCTGGCAGGACTGACTTACAATAAAGACAAGAACTAGAGATACTATAACTTGGAAAGAGCAGCTCTCTGGAGCTGGTATGTAACAGGTGATTAGTGAACAATGTAAGTAGCAATAGTAAGAGTCAATATTTATTTGTACTTAAACCCAATTGCTAATTGCTTCATGTACTTTATATATTGAACGCATTTCATGCATCTGTGTGCTTGATGCATTTAATTCTCTAAACAGCACCTTTCTGACATTTCATTACATTATATATAAGAAAGCAAATAAATAAAATATGTAACATACAGTATTGTACTACAGAGGATGACCTTGCATCTTAGCAATGTCACACACTTTGCCCAGGATCACACAGCTATAGCCCACACTTGACCCCAGGTCTCTGGCTCCTTTGCCAAGTTTCTAAGCAGAGGCCACCGCCTGTGTTTACCAATAGTACCTCACCGTGACCAGTCCAGGCTGCCTGTGAGTCACCATGTCCCCTCTTTCACTCGCAGTGTGCGAGAACGCTGTCTGGAGGAACAGAAGCGGAGGCGGCAGCGCGCCACCAAGAAGATCAGCACCTTCATAGGGACCTTCCTCGTGTGCTTTGCCCCCTATGTGATCACCAGGTGAGCTGAGCTGCAGGTATGGGGGCGGGGCTTTGGAGAACAAAGCAGGGCTCCTGACCTTTCAGTAGCTGAAACTTCGCTTGGCCACATGCATTTCCCAAAGGTGCAGGGGGGACGAGAATGAATTTACCAAGACCCATGAAAGGAAGCGTGTGTAGTTTTCCTTTTTAGCCTCCAATTCTTTATTACTATTTGACTTGTACATAGTTATGGGATCTAGTGTGATAATTCGACACATGTATACAATGCGTAATGATCAGATTGGGATAGTTAACATTTCCATCTCCTTAAAAATTAAAAACATTTTGGTTCACACATAATGACTGTATGTGTTTATGAGTAACCTCATGATATTTCAATACAATATAATACATAGTAGTTAAATCAAAGTAATTAGTGTCTTTATCTCCTTATCATTACTTCATGTCTGAAGCCTTTGAGCTCCTCTCCCCTAATTATACATAAAATACATAATGAATTATTGTGGACTACAGTTATCTTGTTGTGCTGGAGAATACTGGACCTTATTATTTTTATCTCGCTGTGTTTCAGTACATATTATCTGACCTCTTTCTACTTTTCCTCCTCTCACCCTTCCCAGCCTCACTGACCTCAATTCTACATTATGACTGATTTGTTTAAGGTCCGTATGTGAGAGAGAACATGTGGTATTTGTCCTGTGTTTTATACTTTTTACTCAACATAATGTCTTCCATCTATTTTGCTGCAAATAATAAGATATTATTCTTTTTATGGTTGAATAATATTCCATTGTGTATATACTCCACATCTTCTTTACCCATTTAGCTGTTGATGGGAATGTTGTTTTCACATGTCAGCTATTGTGAACAGTGCAGTAATAAACATGGATATGCAGGTATGTCTTTGCTATGCCAATTTCATTACTTTGCTAACATACCAGAAGTGAGGCAGCTGGATCATATGGTAGATCTATTTTTGGTTTCTTGAGGAACCTCCATACTGTTCTCCTTAGCCTCAATTCTTTTGGGTTAGAATCAAAACCAAGAGGTTGGGACTGTCTTCTATTCCATTTCTGAATCTCATCATTCTAATGCTGTATCCCAGGCCCAAACCCCCAGAGGACCTAACAGAAAGGAAATGTGAGCCAGGCATGGTGGTACACTCTTGTAATCCCAGCACTGGAGAGGCTGAGGCAGGAGGATCTTTGTGAGTTCAAGGCTAGCCCGGGCTACAAAGTGAGTTCGAGGTCATCCTAAACTGCATGGTGAAACACTGCCTCAAAAAAATAAAAAAAGAAAATGTGGAGAAAAGGCAGAGGAAAGCATCATTTAGTGCCTGGACTCCTGCTGCTCACGGAGTGCTGCATGACCCTGCCCCTGTGATCCACTGCAGGGCCACCTGCCTCTCACACAGGAACAGGGAGCAAGCACACCTGTGCTTAGCCAGGTGTGGCTGCCTCTCCTGTGACTACAGGCTCCTACCATTAGGCCAGATGCTGTGAACGTGTCATTGTCTCTCCAGAGTGGCAGCCCCAGAGATAGCCGAGGCTGCTGTCCACTGGCTTCCAGGTTATGCCATCCTCAAGCTTGCCTGCGCTGGCTCTGGCAGTTCCCCTGCATCAATTTCACCTAGAAAAAAAAGAAAAACATATCACCCAATGTATTTTACAGACTGGAAGTGGAAAGAACAATCCTACAACTTTGTATCCAAAGAGATTTGATACTCTAGCCAGTCGGTGGTAAAAAAGAAAGTTTGAAACTCTTAGGAGGTAGAAGGGGAAGCTTTCATTGAGTCTGGAAAGTGGGATCTGTGCAGAATCAATCTCTCCTCTCTCTCCTCTCTCCTCTCTCTCTTTCTTACACACACACACACACACACACACACACACACACACACACACACACACGAGTCTCAGTACTACCAGCATTTTCAGCTGCAGGGGCCAAAAGCGCACTCCCTACCTCCCTGCTCTCCAGTGCCACGCATGGCCGAGCAGGGAGGGGCCCGCTGGGGGCAGTCCTCTTGCTTTCCTTATTTGTCTACACTGAGGTGAAGTCTGTTCCACTGAGGCTTCAGCGCACCACTCCAGGTTTTGCCCTCTGCAGCCCACAACAATGTCCTCTGCTTCCCAGCTCTCTGTAGATGTGCTCACAATGAGCCTGGCCTCACCTCAGCCAGTCCCCTCTCTGCTTCCTTGGATACCATAGCTCACTGCTTTCCATTGTCACCTGTGGCATGCTACTCCTTCTGGGGAGACCTAGTGGCCCTGTGTCTAACTTTGAAACATCATACCTAGAGCTGCAGGTCCCTGGATGAGCCTGACCAGGGCAGAGTAGAGCCATCTATTCTTCCATCAAAACTGTCCACTAGACTTCAACACCGTTGTTTTGTGCACAGATGGTTCTTTGCAGAGAGGCTGCCCCAAGAATTGCAGGATGCTCAGCAGCTTCTCTGGCTGGATGCTCAGAGGACCTCTCTTCTCCCTCAACCTCCCAGTTTTGATAACTAAAAATGTCTCCAGATATTGCCAGATGTCCCCTGAGGACCAGAATCATCTCTGGTTGAAAACCAGTGGTCTAGACCCATAACTTCCATCTAGGAAGCCAGAGCTTGCACTTATTAGGGTCTTCACAGGACACCATGCCCATGCACAGTGACAGGAAACGGTCTGATGGCTCTCCGAGTGAGATGTAGCTAAGTGGCTAGCAGTGTGGCTGTGGCATGTGCCTTCCTGGGGCCGCATCACATCTCCAGCCCTCCACTGTGGCCTTGGGCTAATGTCCTTACCTCTCTGGGCCTCCAGAAGGGAGTTTGATGTTTCAAGAGTTAAAGAACACAGTACAGTGGCATGTAGCACAGGCATGAGAGTGATGACATCTCTGGTCATCACCCACCATCTCTTTGATATAGCTGTTCCCAGGAATGAAGGGGATTCAGCCTAACAGAGGAAGGCTTGTCAAAAAGAGAGGGCATACAGAGGTGCCTCCTTTTGCACTCTAGAGTAAGGGAAACTGTGCTCTAATGAGGTAAACTTGAACCCTCAGAGGAGAACAGGTAATGTGGCTCCACTTTTTTTTATTTTAAAAATAAAAGGAGGAAAACATTAGCAGACAGACAATCTTTTACAAACAGCAAAAGAACAGTACAGACAATACAGAGTTACAAAGTGGTAGGAAATTAACAACGCATGTTGTATTACATATTGGTATCTTCA